ATTTCTTGTTATATATCTAATTGTCTTTATAAATAAATATATTAAATTATCAGCAATTTGGTTTTATCTCTCTAGAGAACCCTGTCTAACACAGGGAGCCAGAGAGAACACTCTGCTCCAGGTGGAGTTTGGTACCAAAAGCAAACACCAAACTCTGCCATGGAGTTGATGCCGACTCACAGCCACCCTTTAGAACAGAGAACTGCCCCTGTGGGTGACCAAGACTGTAACTCCTTACAGGAGTAGAAAGCCTCCTCTTTCCCCTGCGGAGCCGCTGGTGGTTTTGAACTGATTACCTTATGGCTAGCAGCCCAACATAACCCCTACACTACCAGTGCCAGACAGCCACTCAGAACTAAATAGTGGGTGGAAGAACATCAAAGGGTGGCTGGCTAAGGAGGCCTGGGGAGTGGAGTGGCCGAGCAAAACCAGCCAAGGGCAGAGAAGAGAGCAGAACAGAGCCCGCGGGCGCCGGCACAGCAACAGCCACACACCCTGCAGGGCACCTGCACTCTGCAGGCAAGTGCGCGCGGAAGAGCAAGAGGCAGTGCGCGTCCTAGGCTAGGGCCATTCCCCGCCCCTAACTCCACCCTCCCCAGACCCGCCCCCAGCTCCACCCTCTCCAGACCCGCCCCAGCTCCACCCTCTTCAGGCCCCGCCCCTAGCTCCGCCCTAGCCCTCGGCCCCGCCCCGTGCGCGCCGTTTTCCCTGGCCCCGCCCCGAAGGCCCGGAAGCGAAAGGGGCTTGCTCTCTTCTGAGCCGGGTCATCACGAGATCCCGGGAGCGGGCGCTCGGAGGGCACGGGCGCTCTGCGACTCCGGGCAGCGCCCTCGGGGCACCATGCGCCGGAACCTGCGCACCGCCCTCGTTTTTGGCTGCTTCGTCTCCGTGCTCGGCGCTGCCTTCTACCCTATTTACTTCCGGCCCCTAGTGCGGCCAGAGGAGTACAGTGAGTGACCTCTGAGCCCGCGCGGTGACCTGCCCCGTCCCCCCCTCCCCGCCCTTTCCCGACCCGAGCGCCACTTGGTGCGGCGCACCGCCCTGTGACCTTGAGCCTCCCCACCCACGTCTGGGGACTGGTCAGGGTGTAACCGCGCTCGCGGCGCCGGGGACGCGCAGGGGTGGGAACGGGTGAGAAAGTGACCTGCGTCAACTCATTCGGTAAACTCTCCTGAGGGTTCAGACGGTTAAGCGGCTGTCTCCTGTTTGAACCCATCTAAAGACTCCTAGGGAGGGGGCTTGGCAGCCTACTTCCGGAAGGCCACAACCTTGAAAGCCCCGCCGAACGGTTGTTGACGTTGACTCTGGCGACAGCTGGCATACTTGTAGTTGTTGCTAGGTGCCATCAAGTCGGTTCTGACCCATAGTGACCCAGTGCAGGGCAGAACGAAAACACTGCCCGGCCCTCTGCCATCCACACAATTGTCCCTCTGGTTGAGCCAAGTTTCTCAGCCAGAGGCAGTCCACCTCCTGGAGGGCCTTCCTCCTTTTCGCTGCGCCTCCACTTGACCGAGCAGGGTGACCTTCTCTAAGGACTGGTCTCTCCTGACAACATGTCCAGAGTACTGAAGACAAAGGCTCACCATCCTTGCCTCTGACGAGCACTCTGGCTGCACTTCTAAGACAGATTGATTTGCCCAAACCAAACATCTGTGGGTCTTGATTGGATTCTGGCGAAGTGAGTTCGGTGTTGGGCTTCCCACTGCTAGGCCAGCGGTTTGAATCCACCAGCTACTCCCTAGGAGAAAAATGACAGTTTTTGCTCTGGGAAAGATTTACAGCCTTAGACATTGAGGCAGTTTGACCCTGCCCTAGAGGATCACCACCGAGTTGGAATCCCCATGTAAACTCAACCAGACCCAAAGCCTTAAGTCAATCCAACTCATAGCAATCCTATGGGACAGAGAAGAACTACCTCTGTGGGTTCCTGCAACTGCAACTCTTTACAGGAATAGATAGCCTCATCTTTCTCGGGGTAGCTGGTGGTTTTGAACTACTGATCTTGTGCTTAGCAGCCCAACAAGTAGCCCACTGTGGCACTACGGCTGCTGTAAGATTCAACCAATGGCTTTGGGTTTGGGTCCCTGTGAGTCAGAATCTACGTGGTGGCAGTGGGTGTGGGTTTGG